CTTATGCATAAAAGGTTGCTACTAGCACTAAGCAGCTATAATGGTTCATGCTGTTATCACTGCTCTGACAGAGTGCCTAAAACTAAAAAATAAGAATAGCAGTGCTTATCTGAAAACAGGTTCTTAAATTGCTTAGTCTTCTTTCAGTCTTCAGACTGTAAAGGTAAAATCTCAGCTTTTCTTAGCTGCTATACTGTCAGAACAAACAATGACAACGTTCATACTTCTATCAGAATTATCATAAGAAGGACAGTTAGACTTCAGTTAGAAGGTTTGGATTCAGAGATCACTGATTAGATTATTAATCAACGTAATCAACTTTCACTTAAAACAGTGGACTTAAATTTTTATATTTAGTTCAATCTCTTTGAAGAAGCATAGGCTGTCTAAATTTTTCAGCAATGAACATTTTACCCAAATCACTAATACATTTAAATCAGTTTACCACATAATATGTGTTTTCCCTTTTACAAGCAAGGCTGTACAGTGTGCTGCCTTTCTCTATTCTATAACTACCATAAACATTTGGAAATGGCAATAACGCTTTCTCTGTCTCTTTACAAGAAAATAAATGACCTAAAAAGGGAAGAAAGGCTAGTCTAGGAAGGAGCACAGCTAATATAAACATCACTCACAACTTGCAATCAGGGACACCCCCTACCCCCCACCCCCTTCTCCAACCAGATCCTTTCACTATTTGTGCCTTGGTTTTGTTTTTCAGATTCTGTCTTCACTACAGATTTCCCTACTTGGAAATACTATCCTTTGAGATCACTGTACAGCAACAACAGATAAAGCTGTGCCAAGCAGAAAAGTGGCCCATGGTGTAGAACTTTGTAATCAGTAAAGAACATGTACACCAGACACAGGCTACCCCAACATGGAAGTATTAAGTTAATCTGTTATTTTAGTAGTGTTCACATTGTTCAGCTAACTGTATGCTATTTCTATACCTACTAGACACTTTTCAAATAAGAATATTGTGGAAAAATAAGACTCTTCACTTGCTAAGTTGAGTTCTTAATTAGTGGTTTTATTATAAATTCAGCCAGTAATACTCTGTCCAAATTTCCTGAATGTAACAAACGGTTCAAAACTGAGTTCACAAAAATACCAGAACAATTTTATGCCAGGAAGAAACAGTATAAGAAATTAGAGGGACTTCTGTAGCCTAAGAAAACCATAAACTTATCTATCCTGACCGGTTAATAATCCATAGCAATTGGACTTCTGTGAACTCAGAATCTCAACATTAGCGTTTCAGCAGATTTGTGATTCTGCAAAAATTTAGTACACAGCAACAGAAAATGCCTTTAAATGTGTTTTACATATATGTAAATACAATCACATCTCCAAATTCTGGACATTCAAACTTTTCCTTAGAACCCTTTTAGCTGCAGCAATTAAGCATAAACTGAAGATGTTAACTGTTGATGTTAAACTGGAATCACACAGCCTCAGTGATTCCTCCTGTGAAATTACCACCACCTGCACACATTTTGGATAATAAACCAGACATAAGGGCTAATTAGCTGAAAATTACATAAGGCTAGGCCTATCAGTACACTTTAGGAGAAATCCCACCAAGCTATTAATTCTTGCAGAGATTACGATCCCTATAGGCCTTTCTTGGATACTAATGCTGTGGAAAAATAATTTGTCTTTTTCATATAATTCTTCCCATTTAGTCAGAAACACAGTCAGCATCGACAAACACCTGGGATGGTACCAGCGACAGTAAGGCTTGAAGGCTTTACAATAAATTAGGCACTAAGCATCCCTGTGTTGCTAGTTTATTGTTAGATTTGAGGTAAATCAAGGTGTCCACTCAGAAGATGTTGTAGGTTAAGTATATTGCTGATCCTAAAGAGCTGTTAAGGACCCAAAAAGGACACAAAATTGTTTATTAAAATTCAGACAGACCACTAAGATGGTAGTTTGTCCCCACAGAAATGATCAGTCAAAAATAGTTTCTGGGACAGTTAGAAGCAACTTGATTATTAAGGTTTTGGCCCCTTTATGCCAAAAATTTTTGATGGGACCTGTAAGGCTTGCTAAATTGGAATGAGGACTTCATATAGGGGAAAAAAAAAAAAAAAAAAAAAGGAAATGGTCATGTTTAATTTTGTGGCTATAAAAAATGACTGGATTACAGGGAAGACTTTCAGGTTTGAGAGCAGTGTTGAAGATTGCAGGGGAAGAGCACTGGTCAGGCAGTACTAGGATAAGAGGTCATTTTGGCAAAGGAAACTACTATATTGTTAATTCCTTGGGAGGCCTCAGGTGACACTTAAAACTAAATTTAGGGTTCCCAACAGTGGAAGTACTTCATCAACTCCTGTGGTCCCAAACAATAACAGTAAACGTAACATCTGCCCTGCCCGCCGCGTTTACTCTAGCCAAAATTCCAGTTTAGATGACAAATCCATAGACCATGCAAATCTAGCAATGCTAAAAACACACTTTTGCCTTTGCTTCTGAGCAAAGTCCACACCTTATGGTACCTATAGCTCACCAGTCTCAGATCTAACAATAATCCATTTTATCCTGTCTACAGCCCTCAGTCCACAATTTCATCAATAAAAATTGCTCTTCCCACTATCCCCAAGCCATGGGACTTCTGAGTCCCAAGCCAATTTCCAGTTCTAGTTTTTACCCCAGTCTTGCAAGATCCAGAAATAAATAAAAGTTTTTCAGTCTTTTTCGTGATCTCTCAATGCTAACCCTAATCTGAAGTCGAGTTTTTGAGGAAAGAGTAGGAAATCAAGCTTGTGACATTGTCATCTTTGACCTTAATCTAACAGCCAATATTGACAGGCACAAAATGGATTAAGGCAGAACCTGGAGAAGAAATGGACTGAAATATTTTTCAAGCTAGTATTTGGCACATCAGAGTCTAAAGAACAATTTATTGTTCTGTGTGGCTTATAGGTCTAAGATGAAGACTCGGTACTTACAGGCACGAAGAAGTTAAGGTTTCTCTAAAGGCACTTGTTGCTGGTTTTCTCTTTACATTGAGGCTTAGGCAACAGCCGGGAACTATCAGTCAGAGGTATCGTTAGATCCTGCAGTTTCCTAGCTGGGACTGTGACTAGAAAGAACAGAAGCATATGGTTTTACGTAGGCGTGACTTGTGGAAACACGAATCCACAACCTGTAAGGTTATAAAGCAGGTATGTTTATTTGACGCTGAGGCACATGGGGGATCGTTCCACCACAAACATGTGCACCTCTCGTGGCACCTTGTCTTGGCTTTATTGCTACAAAGCATCACATATTCATAATACACCTATACATATGCATGACCTATCCCTGCTTTGTATTATAATGAGCCTGAAAGTTATTTTAATATGTTCTGCCCCAGTCTCCTAGTCATGTCTGCGCAGCGTGTCCTGGTGCTCGTGGGCTGGGGTCACAGAGATGAAGTAGCTCCTCTACCTCACCGTTGAACTTTTTAGGTCAGTTTCTTGTGCAGTCTCTGTAAACTCCTGGACTCAGGCCAGACCACTGGTTTTGACCAGTTTTTAGGGCTGTCTTCCTATTCCATCAGGAAGCGTTCCCTCATAGCTTCTATTAATCAAGGTTTCTATATTGTTCTGCTCTCTGGCCCATCATCTATGATCTATTATCCTATTTAGTTATCTTTTAACTAATGGGCCTCTAGCCCCTAGCCTGATCTCTTCCATCTTTATCTCTAAACTAAGTTATACCTTCGTTTCTTAAGGGCCTAATTTCTATATCTTATTTTAATTTCCTAGTTCCTATGATATGCTGGCATGCTTTTAGGACTACTGTCAAGCTCAAACTTTGGGATAAAACCCCAAAGTTCATTGTTACATTCTGTATTGTCCATAATACTAAAATTAAGTGTATTGTAAAGGGGTAGATGTTTGAAAGACAGTTATGAGATAGGCTATGGGTAACTCGACTGTAAGGCTGTGCAAAAGCAAAGATTAAAATGTAATGCTCTGTTCCACAAGGCAGCAGCGCTACAGCGAAGGCTGGTGCTACCAGAAATGCATGGAGGACAGCCAGCATTCCCTTAGCTTAGGTTATGTCTGGAAAAGTTGCGGCACATCCCCTACACAAGTTCAGCAAGGACCAGTGAAAATGAACTAAAGCACTCTTAAATTTGGCAGTACATACACTTCAGTGTGTCATCACCCCTGAACACAGGAAACAAGCAGCCATCTTTTGAGGCAGGATTTCTTTTGACTCATTGAAAGGCCTTCATCCCGTTCCCAGAACTTGACCTAAATAAAGTTACTGCTCCTCTGTTTCTGTCCCTAAACGCTTCTGAAATGGGTGTATTCAGACAAGGACCGCCCTACAAAAGTTTGGATTGCGGCCTCTTTCTCAGTCATTCTTTGAAAGCCCTGTGTATTGCTACATGTAGGAGTTGTCAAATTACAGCCAGAAGGGCAAAGCAGAATGCATGCAGTTCGGAACTACAGAATTTTTAAGAAAGCTTTCTAACCCGACCCCCCCCCCCGCCAGTATTTCACACTTCTGGTCTCACCATGAGTGGCCGTCTGTCTGCAAGGATACAAACATCGTGGGCACTTAAGTGTTATCTGAGGCTAAGCCTTGTTCGTAATGCTGCTCGTATGGCAGTTATTTAAGGATGTTTGCTGCACTAAATTCAGTCTGGGCTCTCAGGAGTAACTGCAGTAGCTTCAGTTAACCAAGTAATAACACTCCCTTGCTAAAGTCAGTATACATAACGTGTAGCCTTCTGCAACCTGGAAACCGAGTATTTACCTGCAGAGATAATTCTCCCTTCCAGGCCTAATTTTTGGAGGCTTTTTTCCTAATTCCCAACCGGTATTTGGGACCTAAGTCTCCTCAGAGACATGCATGCAGAAAACCCAGGGCGGGCAAAGCCCTGACGGACGGACCGGGGCCGAGGCCGGGCCCAGGCCGAGGGGCGG